TATATTATTATTAAAGCACAAAATTTTTTTTATAGAAAAAGCACAACATTCTAGTAAATCTAGTCCCCTACAAAGGATTGAGTTTTGACCCAACCAGACCTAAATCGTAACTGAAAAAACTTATCGCGGTTGTGGCGAGTTGATAAGAAGGATAAAAAGCGAGGTGGTGGGTAGGTAGGGTAGGTCACAACCACAATTGTCGTAACTTGTAAAGCAGGTTTGAAAAGTTGAAACTGAAACCCCGTTTTATAATACACGCCAGTTTTAGTAATTTGACTTCACCAACTCCCTACTTTGGACTCTTTCTTTCTCTCTTTCTTTCTTGCTGGGGATGCGGCATGGACGCATGGTGGCGGATATATCTGTCTCCCATCCCCGTCATCATGATTTGTCAAAACTGTTCGTTTCTCTTTGATCAAATTTTTCCGGCATGCCGGCCACATTATCGCCCATGACATTTATCTACCAAATCCAGTCACATGAATGCAATCCACAAACCAAATCAAAGCCAAATTTATTTGCGATCTGATTGTAAGAAGATCAGAGCTTAAATCAGAAGGTCATTTTTCTTTTTATATCAATATCATATTCAACAAGGAAGAGATGGTTCAAGGTTTTTCTTTTTTGAGTTCGTTGGGGGGGAAAACCTCAGCTATCTCTTGCAGCTGCTGATACAACAAGAATGCCTTTTATACCATCCCTGACAGAATCTCGTAGAAACTGGTACGGATCATTAATTATAGAGAGAAACCGTGACGGTTTATCGAGGATCCGTTGATTTATATACAAATGATTGGGGAGGAAAAGAGCAAGACAGAGAGCGAGCGAGAAGATCCTACTAACGATGTTCTAACGACATATAACGACTAACTTATACTAATTATAGTTAACTACCTAATCTTTTAAAATGATGCATTTTCATCCTTCATTACTAAAAATCTCAATTTTGTACATTGTAAATTATAATACTACCAAACCAGCATCAACAACATAAAGGTATCGTTTGCTTGTGTGATTTTAGTGATGGATTTGGCATCCAAATCCCAAGCATTAGGGAGTTGACACAAATCCATTGTTTGCTAAGGGATACAAAGGGGTGTTCAAACGGTTTGGTTACCGTGGTAACCGGTACTATTTACATAATTTGGTTTGGTTAATTTGGATAATTGGTTTGGTTTGGTCAATTTTTTAGCTTGTTTGGTTTAGGTGGTTTGGTTTTGTTTCGGACACTCCTAACCAGTCAAACCAAATTAACCAGTTAAGTAATTAGTCATATATCTAACATATATTATATGCACATACTTAATACTTTGCATAACCACTCAAGAGTTAACCTTCATCCCTTTTAGACTCATAAAATATAAAGCTCAATATTGCTCATATAGTGTATATTTGTATATGTAAAGTGTAGACCACAACATATAGACGCCTAATTTAGATAAATTTCATACATTATGATGGATGAAAACTTGAAAGGAAGGTCATTTCCAGCCTATGATAATTGCTAAGAGACTAAGTCAATTTACACAAACACAACAATTCATTAACCCAATACCATTGTCATAAATTTTTGTTAGGTGAATACTTCTATACTAATCGTAAGATAATTATCTTAGTTGCATGTATTTTTGTTAAGGGTCAACTATAACTAAGTGTTGATTGTCATGTTTTATTCATTATATAAATTGCGAATTGTTGCATTAATCAGAAAATTTTCATCGTCAATGATAATGTGATTTTATCTTGGTTAATTTGGTTAACCAATTAACCAAACCGATTAAACTTTAGTTTGGTTAATTTGGTTGTTGTATTAGTTTGGACGGTTTGGTTATGATATTGTATTCCATGGTTAATGGAATTTAGCCTTATTTGGTTTGGTTATAACCATGGTAACCATTTGAACACCCCTAATACAATCCGTGAGAACTGAGGTCCATGGATTTGGACCCTTTTTTCATATCGAAATTCGTGGACCCCACGGAGTTACAAATCCCACATTTCATTTGGGATTTGATAATGAAAGGTAAAATCGTGAGACAAATTCATTATAAATCCATGATAAAGATTAACTAACAAACAATCTACTCTTTCAAATTCCATAATGCAACAAATTCATCGTAAATCTAAAAGTTTTTAAAACTCAAAATTCTCATTTTCAAATCCAACAAGCAAACGAGCCCAAATCTAATTGTATAACCGTGTTTCTCCATCCATTAATTAGATCACTTTAGGGACCATTGCTTCTATTTCTCGCCCTCTTCTTCCTTGTTCTTCATTTCCACTGACGAATGGAGCAGTTCCACTGACGAATGGAGCAGCGGCAGCGTTTAATTGAGATGGCGGATTTGATATTGTATATCCTACTATGCTTTCAAGAGTTACTGTCATTAGTTTTGAACTATATTACAGCAGATTTTAATAGGAGAGCCCTCTGTTCAAGGATTAGTGAAAGTCAATTCAACAATAACGTCCATAACCATAAGTCATCTTACTAATTAAAATATACTAACCTCGACAAGATAAAACACTATATCTCTCAGTGGTTTCTGAGTAAGCAATGACGACCCCAAAGTCCATCATTTGTGCTTCCCATCGTCGGGATGACGTCTGAAAAAAGTCATACATACTACCATTCTTTACAGGATAAACAAGGGCACAGAAAGAAGAAAAAAAGTTCCGTTTTCTTTTCAAGACTTGTTGTTCCCACTCCGAAGGCGATCCTGGCTGCTGCTGCTACTACTACTACCATCTTTCGTACCAGAAGAACTACCTTTCTTCTTGTCAACCGCAATTTCATTGACGGCAACTTCTAGTTTATCCAACCTCTCTTTCACCTCTGATATAGCAGCATTTGACTTGGCTTCTACTTCAAGGGCTTTCTGCTCCTCTTCTTTTGCTTTGGTCTCTTCTTCTTTCTTCTTCTTCTGCTGGAATTCCTGAAGTCGGAATGGACCCAGAGGCAATTTAAGAAACATGGGGATAAAATGCATAATTTGTAACAAATCTTGAGAAGCCTTGGATCTTCAGCAGAAAAATAATGTGCTTAAGTTACCATTTCCACTCTGTCCATTTCACGACGAGCATACATGGCGACCAAATACACAGCTGTTTTGTAGAGAATAATACTCATTAGATTCCCGGAAAGAAAAAAGAAGAAGCCAAGCACAGAAAGAAATCAATTGGAGAAGCAGGCATTGTAACGAAACTCAATGGATAGATAGTTAGATTGATACCCAATGATGGCAAGCAGACAAAGAAGAGTTGTACCAGGTGAAAATCAAGCCTGAAATGAAATGGATGGAAGTGATCAGTTATGTACCTTAAGCAGAGATGGAAGCCATGAGACTAAGGAGAGAAATGTTATAATGATAAATAAAACATGATGCCAACAGATTGTGCATAATGATACAACATTGCCTAGTCCTCTAGATGATTCCCAAGTTAAATGGGTTAGTCTGAGAGGTAACTACTGGTTGAGTGAGGGTATCAATTTACGTTGTCTACTTTCCATAGAGAAAAAACATAGGAATTTTCGTCATTACGCCACCTCAAAAAGGATGCTTCATTAGACAAGAAAGAGGTAAAGAGGGTAATGGTGATGTTCCTTTGTCAAGGTTGGTAAAACCAACTAATCTATGAGGCTAATGGTGATGAAAGTGAGTACCTTTCCCACATATTAGCCAATGCTACAGCTAAAAGTGGACTATCGTATTGATGCAAACATAAAACGAACTAATCTGTGAGGCAGCAACAGAGAAGCAAAGAGGTCTCCCAGAGCTTGACTTCGATTGAAGGGCGTTTATCGATTATACTAACCTAAATATGGAGCAATTACACAGTGCAGTTCAGCTCCAGGAGCGTTCATCCAACAATTCTGATAGAAAAAAAAACTACTGGATCTCCATTCTCTACTAATATCAATGGCCGAGGGCTAAACTGTCCTGAAGTTTCCATATCCATAGCTACAAAAACAATATCTATAGCAGCAATGTGCTATGTTCTGGACAGAAAACAATGCAGCTTCCTCTTAAGCAAAGGGGGCAAGTTTAACCAGCGACCAAATAAGCGCAGCAGATTCAGCAAAGCGTATAACCTATTCGACAAAATGTCCCAAAGGAAAGGAAACAGAACAAGAAGGAACGAGCAAACTTGCAAGACTCCCACATAAACCATAAGGCGAGAGAATGATGAACTACCCGAACTTCTTCTGTTTAGGGGTTTCTGTGAAAAGGATCTTCGCGGCGGTCATGAAGTCGAGCTTGCCCAGCTGGCTATACGTTTCATTGTATCTGGTAATACTCGATGGTTGCTTGTGATTATCACCGCCATTGTTGCCACCACTTTCGTTCTTCTTGATGCCATTGTTGGGCTTAGCCGTGCTGGTGCAGAGCCAACGGTGCTTCAATCGTGTCAGGGCGTGCCTGGCGCGAAGCATCCTACTTCTTAGTTCTTCCTATCGACGACTTAGGGCGCCATAACTCTGGAATCAGTTACTTGCATACTGGAGGAAGCTAATCAACTTTCGGATTCCGATCCAGCAGAGAAGCGGATTAAGGATTGAGTTCTCTGCCTTACAGTTCAGTCCAGCCGTATAGGCGGAGTGCCATCGCCGACGTATGGCCGCCGCCTGATCCTTCGTTTCACAAAGTGGGACGAAAAATGGGAAAGGAAGTCTGGAAAAGGAGCATTAGCCGGGAAGTGGGCTAAGGCCTAATGGTCTCAAGAAGCCCAATTTATTTCGGCCCTTAACAGTTGATGGGCCTTAGTGGGCTGTAGTGTAGTTTTCCCCTTCTCGCGGTGGAATAAGCACAGCTTAATTAGTAAGCGGTTCGTCGACGTTAAAGGTACGCTAGACGGTGACATTGACGAAACTATAAATAGCTTTAACCGGCACGTTCCGGTCTACAAAAGTCGCTCCCCTGTTTTCCCTCTCCGAATTTTCGAACTACGTTTTGCGCCGGCGATTCTCATCTTCCCGCTAGTGCTCTCGGCCGTCTATAATGGCTACCTTCGGTGCAGCCTCCGCTGCTAACACGAACCCTAACAAGTCCTTTGAGGTAAATGTCCCCCTCTCTGATCGTTCCTTGATTTGGCATTTGTATCCTTGGGTGATTATTAATATCATAGTTCGAGTTCTTCGAAGCTTTGACGATAAACGAATTGGCTGCTGGCCGTCTTTCTATAAGCTTGATAGCCCTTTCCGTTCATTATGGCTTTTGATGGAGTGCATTTGAACTGTCCGAGTCTTGGATTTCGCTGTTCGTATTGCAAGTTAAGTTTGGAATTCTGTGATTCTTGGCATTCCGGTCTAGGGTTTAGGAGATGTGTCGTCGTGGTTATTAGGATGGTTTTGGGGGTATTCTTGCATTGGGTGCTGATTTCGGTTGTTTGGATGTCGTTACAGGTGATTCAACCCCCGACTGACTCGGTTTCGAGTCTCAACTTCAGTCCTAAGGCAAACTACTTGGTGGCTACTTCGTGGGATAACCAGGTTTCTTGAACTCGAATTCATCTCTTTTACGAATTATTTTGAATTCTTTTTAGATGTGTTGCTTTCTGTTTTGAGCATGAGCTGTTGAGCTTCCCTTTAATTATACCTGTAAAGTTCAATGGTCAATTGTCAAGTAACTCGCAAAAGGAACAATCTCCGTGGAAGTTCTTCAATTCCATCTTTCAAAGCTGAAACACATGCTGCCTTTTTGTTTTCTTGTTTCTGCTTGACTTCTTACATGAACAACAGCATTCTCAAATCTGGAATAATGTTGCAGGTACGATGCTGGGAAATATCAAGAAATGCAAGCACCGTTTCCACTGTGCCCAAGGCATCAATGTCACATGACCAGCCGGTAATATATGGGTCAAACAGGACTGTGTACTACTTCACTTTGTAATTGCTGCTCTAATGACTTATCTTCTTACTTGCTTCATTGTTGGTGCCTTTTCTAGGTCTTATGTTCTGCGTGGAAGGATGACGGAACAACTGTTTTCACCGGTGGCTGTGACAAACAAGTAAAGATGTGGCCTTTACTGTCAGGAGGTCAAGCAACCACTGTCGCTATGCATGATGGGCCAGTTAAAGAGATAGCTTGGATTCCCGAAATGAACCTCTTGGCCTCAGCAAGTTGGGATAAGACCTTGAGGTAAGACTCTTTCATCCTGCTCTTTGTTGCGAAAGTAGGTTTATATTTCTCCTCTGTTGTCTCCCTTTTGCAACTCATTTTATTTTCAAGAAGTGGAACAACATTTACTACCTTTATTAATTGTGGTCATGTCTGTTGAAAAGTTTGAAGTGTCATATCACATTTTTGTAAAGAGTTTGAAGTTCAAATTGAAAGCATAATGATTCTGATGCCTATCATCGATTGCTTTTATTCTGATCAGACTTGTGTTGTAGGAGGAATTAAGTTTTCTCAGCATCTATCAATAAATAGATGCCTCTGGATTTTTTAAATGGCTGACACAGAGTTGTCTTATACCTTTTGTAGTTTAGATGCCATTTTTTTAGACTATGCACGTTACGTCGTCAATTTTTATTTTATTTTTTATCTTAGTATATTTCTTCACTATAAACAGGTACTGGGACACAAGGCAGCAAACTCCAGTGCATACTCAACAACTCCCAGAGCGCTGTTATGCCATGACAGTGCGGTATCCGCTCATGGTTGTGGGTACTGCAGACAGGAACATCGTAGTCTTCAATTTGCAAAATCCTCAGGTAACTTTTCCGTATTTTAGCTGTACTTCTTCTCCAAAGGGTTGTGAATGGGTTTAAGCCCTATAGTTTCAAAGGGGACCCGTCTAGGGGATCAAAAACAGTAGCTTCATGAGAGGACTCACATTATGAGACGTGATGGAGTTTTAGGGGTCTTATTCCTTACTTTCTGATAGAGTGACACTCCATTTGCTTATTATCTAATTTACATATTTGATGTGTGGGCAGGCGGAGTTCAAGAGAATTCAATCACCTCTGAAGTATCAGACTAGATGTGTAGCAGCATTTCCGGATCAGCAAGGGTTTTTGGTATGCATTTGACTTTGTCACCACCCATTCCTTTCTTTTTGGCATGCTTTAAATTTCCTTATTTGCCAACTTTTAAGTCTCTGGAGGGGTTTAAATCCAATCACCTAAGGCATAACTGTTTGAGAGCAACTGTAACTGTATTTTGATCCGCTGGCCTGCTTTCTAAGGTTGAGATAGATTGCTTTGATGGGTATAAAATTACTGCTTGAGAGTTGAGATGCGATACTCTTGGCTGTGAGCAGTTCCTTGTCATTGCTGGTGGTGTGGACATGTACTTTTCTTTTATAAGTGATAGTTTCAAGGTTATAAGTTATAACCAGTGAGGGTAAGTATCTTGTACATTTAACTTCCAGAATAATAAAATGCAATTGGCATAAACACCGAAGTAATTCCAGAATGATAAAAATTTAACTTCACTTAGGAGAAGATGAGTAGAGTACCACTACCTAGAGCACCATCCAATTGGCGTTAGCAGCCACTTACCTTCATGTGAAGAATGATTTCCTGGAACCATCTTTCTTAACTGTCCGGGAGAAGAGTTTACAAGAACTGTGACCTAATTGTGGACCATACTTGATCAAATATTGCAACAATATAGTGTTCAATTACGTGGGTCGCTTGATGTTGGCCATTTATTGTTGTTAATGGCATATAGACTGTTCTAAGGTTCTTGGAATTGTTCTTGTTTTCATTTTGTTCAACCTCATTTTGTTCTCGCACAGGTTGGTTCCATAGAAGGCAGAGTTGGTGTTCATCATCTGGATGATGCACAGAGTGGTAAAAACTTCACTTTTAAGTGCCACAGAGAAGGAAATGATATCTACTCAGTGAACTCCTTGAACTTCCATCCTGTAAGTTATTTAAATCTCATTCTCCTGTTGCTTGCCTACGAGTTTCAAACTTTAGTTTCACCGAAGCAAGTAGTTAGCAACTTATTTGTTGGTTCGATTTCTCGTTTCTACCAGCCACATGCAAAAATCTGGTGTCTGATAGCTAATTATGCTTTGCTTCACAATATGCATGTCTATCTCTCGTGTTCAGGTCCACCATACGTTTGCAACTGCAGGATCTGATGGTGCTTTCAATTTTTGGGACAAGGACAGCAAACAGAGGCTAAAGGTTTGTGCAAGTTTTTCATTTCTTTCCAGGATTGAACATCAAGTGCTGTCCTAGTTCGTCTTGTTGTTTCGTTCTATTAGATGTGGTACCAGGAGATGATTCAATCCTTTTATTCACTGGGTCAATAGTTGAATGCCATGGCTGATTTTTGTGGTTTCCTTGTGAGGATTTAGTTGAACTAATCAAAATTTTCGAATGTCGTCTAATCTTCTAGGCCATGTCAAGGTGCAGCCAGCCAATTCCTTGCGGTGCATTTAACAATGATGGCTCCATATATGCATATGCGGTATGTATTTCACATCTCTGACCAGCAAGTATATAACAGCATCGTCGTCCGGAAGGTCTGGTGGGTTTTATGGGAAGATCCATTTCTGTTGTATGCAGGTTTGTTATGACTGGGGCAAAGGTGCTGAGAACCACAACCCCGCAACGGCAAAAACGAACATCTTTCTGCATCTACCACAGGTGCGTGTTCACTCACTCACTCACTCTTTTGGTTCAACAGTCTTTCCTTCCATCTGAGTTGCTTCAAGGCTGGGTTTAGTGATGCAAATGTATGTTGTATGTGGTTGTTCTGATGCTGCAGGAGTCTGAGGTTAAAGGGAAACCCCGTGCCGGAGCAACTAATAGAAGGTGAAGAAGCTGTTACTGCTTTGCGTGGCGGCCCTGGCGCGGAAGGCTGACACGTGTCACCTCCTTGTATCTCAGTCTTTCTTTTCTTTGTTCTAGACTGGGTTCATGCAGTTAATGCTTTGTTTTTTCGAGTGGTTGTCCATAGGGTTTTTTTCATTTGTTAGCGATGTAAGTGATACAAATAGATAGTAGTTGTTTTGAGAGAGAGGCGAATGTTGAACAATAATTTTTTTCCCTTACCAAACAATTGCTAATTGCTAATGAGCTGGGAAGATATTGAGCAGCGACCAACTTGCGGTTCAGTTGTCCCTTGCACTCTTGTGTGTCCTTTGGGTTTCTGTTTGATTTATTTGCTTAACAATCGGATGCAAAATCAAAGAATAATAATAATATGTTTATCCGACAGAAAGAAGTTGAATAACTTGGTTTAGATTTTAGAGGCGAGGCCGAGTTTGGGCTTTTTCCCGTTCAATATGGCGTCGTTTCACTAATAGTGTGGGATAGTAGGCACTAGTATTTTGGTTCAATCATCATTTATAACTGGTTCATCCACAATGACTAAAAGAAAAAAATATTGGTTCATCCCAATTAAATCGACAACCAAAAGTCAGCTGTCGTGTACTACAACAATAGTTTCCCTAGCGGTTTTGAATGCAACCGCAATAAATATACATGGTCCGGTCACGGACTAAACTGATAATTGACAAGTAATTTGTCAACCCTCATTGCAATTATAAGAATTCTTAAATATCTACAATAATAGGTCCATATACTTGAATACATTGTTGAATGTTTTTGGTAAGCCGTAAGCCACTAAGCCTGTAACATATGTATCATGAGATTTATATGAGGTACCGATGCACATTATTTGTAGTGAAATAAAACTACGGTAAACCATATAATAATATCATAAAAAGATATATTATGGGAATTGATAGGACAATTACATGTTCAAGAAATGACCCCTACAATTACACTTTTAATGAATTGCTATAAAGCCCAAGCTTTATCTAGCTTGCAGGGAAAGGACTTCGTCTTAGGAGTGTCCACTATTAATTAACAGAAAAAAAGTGGCCATTCAATTCCTTGAGTAAATGTAAAGGAAAGACCATAGGACGATAGGCAGCAAGCCAGCAATACCAAATATATATGAATTTCTTTTCTCATTGGAAAAAAACCCCTTACAAAGTTGGCTATTCATCAGATAACATTAGTTATACATATTAATTCATTATGAAAGGTTTTAATTAAGTATATATTACTATGATCTTTGGTGGAAGATTTAATGATATTTACTTTGGAGATCGCCTTTTGGACTTATGCATGATTATGTTAGCATGCGCTATCTTTGGGTTTTTGCCCTTTTCCTCCAAGTCATAAACACCCAGCTGGGCCCTTGTGTTGTTGTTTTTGTGTACCCTTCCCTTCTAAAGGATCGATTTTCATCAAAATCACTTTTGGGTGCAAAAATGTTGGAATTTTAAGCCCCACATATATAAGGTTTTATTCTCTTCACTCCCAGGGGTTGTTGTTCTGTTCATACCTTAACTTGTAGCTTTTATCACGCCGCAACAAATGAGATCTTGGGAAGAGATTGAGGATGTTGGAACATTGTCTAGATTTTGTTCCCTAAAGATTGTAACAAGGAAGAAGAAAATGTGAACCTACTTAAGACCATGCATGCGGATAATGCAACATTTTGTCCATGCTCCGAGTCCTGTTTGTTTCATCATGCCCTATGGCCTATAGTACTCCAGTGGTCAGAACAGATTTGGAATCAAATTTCTACGTTGCCATGGACTGTTGTTTTGTTTCTTCTGGGATAGACATTTTTAAAATTATTTTACCATGTACGAAGAAGGGCCACTATGCGGGCTCCCTTCAAAATCTGATCCCTTCTACAAGTTACATATGGTATCGGACTCTGGTTTAGGCGATTAGATTTTCTTCTATCCGTATTTTTTCTTCCTCCATTCTCCATATCACTAAGTTATGGCAACTACAACTATTGATAGTTCTTCTAGTTCTACTTTTACAAATTCTGGATCTCTTTCTACCATTGCACCTGCTGTAAATTACTACTACTTACTATATCAACCCTAATGAGTCACTCGTCTTTGTTGGGAAAAAAAGCTTTCCCTTTCCGCAAAGGTAAACCTATATTATTACTTGCCAGACTTGTGAATATATTACTTGCTCTATTCTTGCCAAGAGTTTGAGTTCCACCCAAAGGAATTTAACATGGAGTTAGATCGAAATCAGGGCCGGCCAAGAGGGTGTGCCGGCCCGCCCTCCGGCACAGGGCCTTTGAATATTAGGGGCCTCCACTCAGATTCGTTAGTTACCGATCGAATATTGCAGGTTGTTTTTTTAGTGTATGATTGATAGATTATGAATATGATGAAGAATTTAATAGATAATTTTAGCTATAATAACAATTGAAAAGGATCTCATGGAGAATATGAAAATAAGAGAGATAATAGATAATTTTAATTTAAACAATAAAGAAAGATATTACATTTTGAATAATGGTATTATAATCATTTTAGTTTTATTATAGTTAAAAGTCAATTTGGATAATGTCTCAATTTTAGAATAGGGCCTACACGATCCATTAGATAGACCCGCACCCACCTCTTGATCAATTTATATTATTTTCATTTCTCCATTCAATTTTTGCTCTATATCCATTTTCTGTTCCCTCCAGATTTACTTTTCTCCCTCCATGCTAGGAGTGAGAATTTGGTCTTGGTTTCTTGGTCAAATAGGAAGTGAGATTGTTTATTCATTTTGAAATCATTTTCTGAACTTATGTACTTTATAATTATTTAATAAATTTTATTTTTAATAAATTTATTGTGAAAAAAATTAGGGGCCACATGTTAAATTTTCGAACAGGGCCTCCAAATATCATAGGACGGCTCTGATCGGAATAAGATAAAAATTAGACACTAGATCTCAAAGGGGCGAGTCACCTTTAAGTCGAGATGTAAATTAAAACAATAGGTCGAACTAGGTTAACAAAATATCCTATATCTGTGTCTCTCTCCTTTATTTAGGGCCTCTTGTAACGTATCCTTGGTGCCAACAAAGAGTCGTGTAACTCAAAGGAAAAACTTTGGGAGATTGAAGCGACAATATGAAGTAGAGAGGTTGCACTCTCAGAAGAAACATCGAGGCTGATAATTTAAGTGTGAGAGGGTAGGATAGGGAAAGGAGAATCTGAATTGTGGGCGGGAGAAGGGGAATTAGTTCTAAATTATATTAGAGTCGTAAAGGGTGGTATATTTGGTCCCAATTTATTTTTTAGAAATATGTACGATTTTATAGATAACGATAAACTCGCTTATATCATTAATTTAAAAAAAAAAATTAATAAAAAAATTGAAAAATTATAAAGAGTGATACATAATGATTAAGGGTGGTAATGAGTGATCAACTTATCATGCCGCAACCTATAGGCTACAATCTTATCCCTACAATCCATTAGGGACTTCAACTGATAGGGCCATGAACGAATGAACTTGTGGGGGGAAAAAGAGGGACTTCTTATGGTTGCATGCACAAAAGAAGTGGTTACCAACTGTTTAACTATCATTGCAAAGTAGTATTTCTTAGTTTGCAATGAAGCTAAATACATAACTGGATACATATTCTTGCAATAGCCAAAAGTCTCATTTGGCAATTATGAAACTCAATCGATGAAGATGCCTATCTTTATCATATGGATTAATACTTTATTTTGGATCGAACTATGATCATGTAATCAATTTTGGTTCGTGGTTTCAAAAATTAACATCTTGGCCTCAACTATGCAGCATATACTATATAGACTCAATTGTCCCGACAAATGGTTTGACCGTCAATTTGGTGGATAGTCAACACGCCATGTCATTGCTTCGTCAGCCTAAAAATCATTAAAAAATTCAAATTCAAATTATTTTACTAATTTATATTATTTATCATTTTCAAATTAACCAAAAAAATAAAATTTAAAATTTAAATTCGATAATTTTTTTGTTAATTTATAAAATTTATCATTTTCAAATTACCCAAAAAATATAATATAAAATTTATTTTTAATTTTTTATAATTATATTTTTTGGTTAATTTGATAATGATAAATAATAGAAATTAGGAAAATAATTTGAATTTTTAAAGAATTTTTAGGCTGACAAGGCAATGACATGGCGTGTTAACCGTCCAAATTGACGGTCAAACCATGTGTCGGGCCAATTGAGTCTATATGTTGCATAGTTGATGCCAAAATGTTAATTTCGGAAATCACGGGCCAAAGTTAATTATATGTTCATAGTTCAGACCAAAAAAAGATATTAACCCTTATCATATATATTCATAAGACAGAATCGTAGGATCTAAATGCAATTTTTTCTTCTGTAATTATTAAATTAAATGTTGATTTTTCCAATGATATTTCGATCAATAATTGTAAAGTACACCCAATAACATTTTTTTTGTGGAAAGAATAATAATATTTTCTTTCAAGTACTAAAAATGTACGTATTTATAGGGTACGGAATATCCCTTCTATAGAGGGGAACAAGTTGTATATGTCTTTCCGAACCTCCGCAAAATATGTTGAGCGTGGTAGAGTGTTGGGCGCTGTTTTGTATCACAGTATAAGTTTGAGGACCTTTCTGTAGTTTGTGACCTAGTTCCCTTCTTATATAAAGGGGTGCTAGGATTGCCGCATCTATGTATGCGAGAGACGTGAGAATTACGGTGGTAATAAAAGAACCCGAGAGCTTCGTCTCTCCGTGGAGTAGTCTCATTGTCATTGAACGGGGAAACCACGTACATCGCTGTGTTGTGTGATTGTTAGCTTTCGCGTTCATTAGTTTTTTCACGGTATCAGAGCGGGTCATCGTTCATACTGCGTGAGCTGCGAATATGGTGTCTGGAGAGGATGGTTCGAGCGACTCAAAGGAGGCCGTCACTGGCGCTGAGTCGATTCCACTCACCTCCCTCTCTATCTTCATTCGT